TGCAATCAATCAGCCATTTGATCCCTTAGTAATCGATTTTACCTGCAAGCAAATACACTTTCCGTCCTCACCTCAGTGGTGAACTTCTGAACCTGACTATAATAAGGGAAGCCACAGAACTTTGGGCGATGCACTTTCTCCCTAATGAGCTTGTTTACCACCACAAAATTTAGGCGCCAAAATCTATTAACATACTCGTAAGTACTTACATTCATGCCAAGTTGACTACGCTAATGATTAATTAACGGATTACTGCAGAGTCTGAGTTGATGAAGCAGGTGACGAAGAAATCCCTGCATAGTTTCTATTGAACGAGTACTTTCACTACGAACAATAAAAACTATTTGTCTGACGACTGAAAATGAAAATTTTCGGCGTCTAAAGCTCTACCCTGAATTACAGCAAGCGATGGTAAAGCGGTTGGCGGTAATTGAACAGCTGTACAGTTGCCTTAGTGAAATCCGTGAGAGTAAAGCCCAAAATACAATAACGCAGTGGCAGTGGCAGCGGCAGTTTTTCGAAATCAGCTGTTTTTTAGAAAGTGTGGTGTCCAATGAAGCGACTCACAATACAGCAGTGGCAGCTAGCAGTACTGCTCAGTTTAGCCCAAATTCTAAATTCACTGCCACTGCCTTCATCGCAGCAAACTTCGCATGCTGAATTTGACATAAATGAAACGCAGCCAACATCTGTTGATGTCACTGAAGCCTAAAAGGCAACAACAAAAATGTAAACAAACAAAAGGGAATGTCAAAAAAAGCAGTCACTGACAACGCCGTATTGTGTTTGCTGCGGCATTGACTGCCAATATTAGCAGTAACAGCTGATTTTAAAAACTGTCACTGCCACTGCCACTGCGCTATTGTGTTTTGGCCTTAAACATAAGTTGCGTTCCCTAACTCACAAGAAGTTGGATTTTACCAGAAAGCGTTCCCGTACTCGGTTCTCTGGCTTCTTTTGCTTTGTGACAGTTTTATAGGTTTTAACCCAGAAAAGTTGGGGAGCGCAACTATAATTGCCGTGCACGACGGCTTCCGTCAGTTGTCATTATGCTTTATCGTTAAAATTAAATATTTTTTCGTTACGTGCGTGTATGTAGATTTACTGGTAATAACAATGTATCAAAACATTGGCAAACTTGTGAAAATAATAAAAATTATTACAATCAACACTCAATCAACATTTTACCGTCCCCACTGGGTGGTAGAAATAGAAATAGAAATAAATTTAAATCAACGGAAAAACGTCGGCAGTAACAACGCTGGCGCCGCAATTATGAGCCATTTCATATGCCTTTGTGAGTTTTAATTTTGACCCTTGTCCGCTGCCATTCTGGGTGGAGCTTAATTGAGTTTTTATTACATAGCATTTAAAAACTGCTCTAATATGTATGTAGATTCATAAATCCAGCAATTTTATTGGAGTTTAAAGCTGTTTTTTTTTGTGATTAGTGAAAAAGTAGCCAAACAAAAGCCTGCTTAAAAACCATAAACAATTTTTATGAAAAGCAGATTATACAACAACAACAACATCAAATATTAATAAAGAATTATTTCTTTGCTCACACACATTTTGGCTTTGAGTTTGTTCCGATTCCAAATCGCGTATGTGAAGATAAAAATATAAAAGAATACAGGCCGAAGGCTTCATACCTTTCATGAACATCAAAAAATCAACTTCAAACTTGTACTGCATTTTGAATCAGTTATTTTCTAGCTTTACATTAAATCTAATTGAATTTCCCTTTGGACTTTATATTTATGATTAAACAAATATGGGACGGAGGGATAATATAACAAAATCTCATATCCGAACAATCCTTATAAAGCACCACTCTTACTAATTTGCTCTGTAGGCCTTGTATGATCGATAAGTTAACAGGTCACACAATTGTATGGCTTTATCTGCCTACATAAAGAAGTTATTCACAAAAAGTTATATCTGAACAATCAGTAGTATTGGAAATATACCTCAAAGAGCACCGATCTTGACGATTTCCTCGATAGAACTTGTAGTATGATTTAATTAGTAATTAGCTCACGAAAGTCCACAGTTCTAGCTATCTTAATGAAAGAGCTTTAAAGCAAAATCTCATATCCAAACAAAATGTTGTATGGAAGACAAAATTTTTATGGCTCTACAAGTTCAAGTGAAGATTAAGTAAATTTTTTCGCTCAAAACTCCACGCTCGGCCTTAAGAAGTATTTTTTCTGATCTCTTAAAGTAATCTGCATGCTCGACTCCTTACTCCTTGTTTTTAGTATGTATAGAAATTTTCATGATATATTTAATGATGACACAGTACCAGCTTAACTTTGCCCCAGACACACCGCGATACGCTTTCTCCAATTCTTTTTTTTTTGACATCCGTTTCGTAAAAAAACACTTTATCGTCTGTTTGCACATAGCATAGATATTGAAAGGTCTTATAAATACAGCATCCAAAAGTTATTCATTTGCCGACTGGTTTTATGACGGAAGTAACATAGTTGCATATCTTTTTCTGTAAGAATTTACCATTGTAATTCAATAAATCTCATCTATGTAAATTCACTATAATTAGTCACATATTTGCGGGTAGGAAAAAAGTTAACATTTCTATGAAATCGTTCTTTTTTTCTCAGAATACTAAAAATATGAAAATTACTTATGAAAAGGGTAGCATTAAGAAGGCCAGAAAAAAGCTACGAGGCTACACCAAAAATTCCGTGGCAAGAGAAAAAATAGAACTATTAAATTAAGGCTCAAAAAGTCTTACCTGGTCACACTGTCTGGGACCAACGTGAATAGGCCCATTTGTTCGCACAATCCTTTCTGGATTTTTTATATTAATTTTTCTGACAAAGTATTTTTTTTTTTTTTGGAATAGAGTCAGAAAGCCCGTCTCTCTTTACCTCCAAATTTGTTTACAATGCCAAAAAGTACTATGAAGTTTCTTAACATGCCAGTTTTTTGTAATGCTTTTGGGAACCAAAATATGGAAGCGGCTTTACTAAAAGATTGGTCTAATTATTTTGTATTTATGAGAAGCTTCCACGTATTGTGGAAATACTGAAGCCCACCGTCAACGAACTGATTGGGCCTTAATGCGCCAAATCTTGGAAAAGACTCGCGAAAATAGAATCGACACACACCATCTATTTGTCGATTTCAAAGCCGCTTTCGACAGCGATCCCCGCGATACTAATACGGTTGTGTAAAATGAAGTTGAGCAATACCACCAGTACGGTCACAATTGGGAAAGACCTCTCCGAGCCGTTAGATACTAAAGGACGTTTCAGACAAGGTGACTCCCTTCCAAGTGATTTCTTTATTCTGATATCGGAGAAGATCATAAGAGCCGCAGAACTTAACAGCTCAGGCACATTACATTACAAGAGCGCACAATTGCTGGCGTATGCCGACAACATCGCGGATTTTGGCGCGGAGGCATGGACAATGAAAACATCTGATGCATCTGATATAGCTGGTCTTGGAGTTCCTAAGGGAAAGGTTTTGTGAACGATTTACGGATCTTTGTCCTTTGGCAATGCCGAATACGGCAGACGATTTAACGATGAGCTGTATGAGGTTTACAACGATATAGACAAAGCGTAGCGAATTAAAGTCCAATGGTTACGCTGGCTCAGTCATGTCGTTCCAATGGGCAGAAATGCTCCAGATCTGAAAGTATTCATCGCGGGACAGGGTAACTAGACCAAAATCGCTTAGGTGGCTACAGCGCCAATAAAGAAGAAGAAGAATATCTACACTCGGAGGTTTGCCATGTCCTGCCGAGGCGCGACCGATATTAGAAAAAGTATTTCTGATCTTTTGTTTTTGATGCTACGCGGAAACTGGGCTCGATCCCAGGCCCTGTAGAATGGTAGTGCGCACCCACGCCACACGACGATGAATACAAAGACGAATAAGAAGACAAAGCCAAAAACAAATATGAACACTAACGAAAAGACGAAGGCGAATACATAGTATTTAATACAAATACGAAAATCGAAACAAAGCCGAATACGAAGGCAAACACGAAAGCGGATACGAAGTCGAATACGAAGACAAAAAACCAATATGAAGACTAAGACTAAGCCTACTGTGAAGAGAATCCGTAAACCGATTAAAATAGATGATGACAACTAATTGGAAACGAAATTCAATATGATTTTATTTGCAAATTATGTTTATATTTTTATTTTTAATCATTTTTATTTAAAATATAATTCAATATGTAACAGAAATCACAATAATAAAAGTTTCAAAAAAAAAAATTAATCAAACCTCAAAAAATTGTCATCAAAATTACCAAATTTGTAATCAGAATATTTAGAAAATTTTCAATCAATTGTAGTCTAAGAAAGCGCAAGTCTCTAGTCGTTAAAAATTACCGTTGATTTTTTAGAATTTTTTTTTTGTGGAGGGTGTTGCGGATTTTTTTCATATAAAAAAATTGTATCATGTATTATATGGAAGAAAATGTGCACCACCCTCCAATTGAATGGGCTACAGAACTGCATACCCGCAAATTTTGTTTTGATGACAATTTTTTGAAGTTTGATAAATTTTTTTTCCAATTTTTGCAAATTTTGAAGTTTTTATTATTGTGGTTTCTGTTACAGATTGAATTATGTTTTAAATGTAAATTATTAAAAATAAAAAATAAACATAATTTGCAAACAATATCCTTTGAATTTCGTTTCTAATCAGTTGAACGTAAGTGTGTGTATACCAAATGAAAGGTAAATCAATTTGCTATCTTTCGTGTGAAATAATATTTAATTAAAATTGCAAGCTTTGGTGATATTTGCAAAGATGAAAGAATGTTTTTTTCTCCAAAAATGGTACAATTTCGCATTTATATTTTTATTTTCATTAATCAAAAACATTGTGTGGATTTTCGGACTGAGCGACCAATTTTACATGGGAATTAGATGACTTAGTTCGTGGGTAAAAAACCTGTATATAATTCTTTGTAAACCTGTGTAAATATTATAATATCAACAAAGGAAATGTTTTAAATTTTTGCGTAGTTATTTATTGCTTTCATAATTTTACAAGTACGATTTAAGCGTAAAGTAATGAATACATTTAATTCTAAATCATTCTACACTCCTTTCACTTGTTGCATTTCACTGAGCGCATACTCCACTCGGCAACATGTTGCCGGATCTGCGATTACGAAGCTCATAGCATGCAACGCACCAACCAACCAACCAATCAACCAACCAGTTGCATTCATTCATTAAGCTCCTTGTAGCGCCAAGCGCATCAGCAACACCAGTAATTGGTACGTACAACCAGTTAGTACTAAGCACTCGCATAGGCGGCTAAAAGCGTTGACGAAGATGATGCAAGTACATACATACATATGCATGTGTGCGATTATGTTTGCTGTGCTTTGCTAAATTGAAATTGGCGCTGCATGCAATTCCATTCATTCTGCCATTCATTCTGCCATTCATTCATCGATGCTGGATTTTATGGCGTAGTGTGGCGCTGAGAAACCAGTTTCTCCATTCATTGCTAGCGAACTCATCGTATTGACTCGGCGGTGGGCATACGAAGTACGTACATATGTTCGTACGTAAGAGACGATGACTACTACATTGATTCGATTGACTCACTCCGCTTTTGCAGCTGCTGCTCCATTCATGCCTAGTAGGCTGGCTTATTGATGCTTTCCCGCGTTAGCTGCGACGTACGTAACGTACATAGCTTTTAGTTGGGAGTTGATTTTCGCGCCCATTGATTACTCCTATAAGTTGTTGCCCAACTCAGCTTGCGACTCCATCGTTTTATTGATGTTTACAATCACTGTTGCTGCTGCCACGTTTTAAGCTCGTTCTGGTAATTCTTTTTTTTTTTTGCGGCCGGCTTCATTGCTAGCCCATTATTTTTCCGTTCGTTTTACGCCCAGCTCCGCCTCACTTCCAATCGATTTCGTTGAGTTGTTGTGTGCCTTGTTGCTCCACCATTGCTGCTGCATTCCAGTAAAAGTGTCCAGCTTCGGTTTGCAGGCAAATCACGTGCTGTTCCATGTCCTCTCCATAGCCGATGGCGGTGGCATTGACATTGGCCGCTTGCTGTAGTAGCCATTCGTTGGCGGCATTTTGTGCCATTTCGCTGGTTAGCAGGAAAGTAAGTTTACTCAGCTCGTTGTTGTTATTATTATTATTTTCAAATTCACAATTGTTGTTGTTGTTGTTGCTCCTGCTGTTAATGTTGGCGTGTTGTAACTGCTTCGCTTTGCCGAATTTGAAAAGTTGTCGCATGCGGCTAGCCAAAAATTTGAATTTGCACAACACTGGCGCGCGCTTCAGCGTTGAAGATTGCATGACTATTTTTAAAAATTACTACTTTTATTTCTCAAACAAAAGAAAAATATAATATTTCGTTCAAACTTTTTCTTTGTAAAGCCTTCAAGCTCCCGCCGCGTTGATTACACTTTGCTTGCTTTGCATTGACTGCGCGCTGGTCAAAAAGGCACATCGCTTTTATAGCCGCCATCCCATCCACTGAACCCAGCCCGCCCTCCTCTTTACACAGGGCTGTAGTGGCGTAGGGCGCAAGCAATGCAGCAAAGTCAGTGAACAATGAAACCACACATGCAACACATGTGGTGGTTGTTACGGCGCGCAGCAGCATTGTTGATGAGCCCTGCACGTGCTGAGCGTGCGTGCGGCAGCAACATGAGTGAGCGCGCAACACTGACATCAGCAACAACAGCCAAAGAAAGTAATATCAAATGAAAGCAAGAAATATGATAAAGCAAAAAAAAAACCGTGACAGTCACTAAAAAGATGAGGCATACACAACAACAACAACAGCGGCGGCAACAAAAGCCGCAGCACTTGTCGTTGTGGCAAGCAAACAGGCGCGCTGCGCTCATCCCCCCTTTTTTTTGTTAATTCACTCCTTTTTGCACAGCTCTGCACGCACACATCCTGCCCTGCATTACGGCGACCTCATTGTACGAGTTTTGGCAGTTGCGCTTCCCAGCGTAAGGGCTGCACGGTCGGTGGAATTTCGAAAAATTATCCCACGGTTTTTGGCATAATTTATGTATGCATGTGTGCTTTATAAGTGGCAGATGTTTGCAATTTGGCACCGATCGCGCAGTATACGATTGCTCGTGTGTAACACCACAGACACAAATTGAAAAAAAGGATTCGACTCGTTTCGGAAGGGTGGCCGCATTTTTTTTTTTGTAGTGAGAATTGAATTTTATGCAAATATGCGTTGCGGGGTGTTGCGATGCGTTTGCACTTGCTGCTCGAGTTTCCCCGCAATTAAAGTGTGGGAAAGTGCGTCCACATTAATATGCAACATGTTTGCAAACAACAACAAAAAAATGTAGCAAAAAAAGTGCGAACGAAGGAGAACGAACTCAACTTCTTGTCGTTTAGCTGAGAGGCTAGGCTAGGTATGCTGGCCAGCCAATGTGTGGATCATTAGGGTCCATAGCGTTACGAAATAAACCACGACCACTTTGGACAGCTAATCACTGCATACTAGGAGGACTGTTGGAGAAAATCGCAGCCCTATAGGCGAAATGGAAAACTTATTAAATATACCCTACCTTGGCGCCGGCTTCGAGATTAGATTGAAAACTTGCTCCCAGTAGACTAACCCACAGCCTGTTAAGAGCAGGATACTAGCAGAGGATATGCTCCACTCTCTTCTCTTTCGTTCTGCAGCTTCTACAGATCCTATCGTTAGTCAGAGCTAGTTTAAAGGCGTGCGATGCCAGCAGGAAATGCCCAGTTAGAACACCTCCTGCTTATTTGTTGGAGTGTACTTCAGTAGCTCCGACGCCCTCCTTATAGCCTGCGAAATGCTGTAGTAGTTTGGCAGCTTATAAGATTTGTTGAGGCCGAGCTCCGCGCTTACAACTGCCGCCCCTAAGCCCTTCTCCGCCTACGATCCGTCCGTAGAGACATTCACCAAGTCAGCACTCCTCATGTCCTAACGCCAGCCACCTCTATGGCGGCAAGAGGTGCAACAAGGTGGAGAGTGCTACCGTTGGTGTAGTCCTAAATGCCCCTGCCATGTCGATCATTGATAGCCTATATTAACTTTCTATACTCGTAAGAAATATTTTCTTCTGTAATGCTGTCCATCACACCAATACTATCCAGTGAAGAAGAGAAGGCGACAAATCTCCAAGTGCAGCCCGGCATCTGTTTGCATGCATAGAATGCCACGGAGGCCTTCCCCGCCCTCTCCTCCACAGTGACGTGCCACGACAGCTTACTATCGTGTATTATTTCGAGGTACTTGGTGCTAAACGGTCATCCCATCCAGCTTGGGCGTGGACCAGTTCGGAACCTTGCATTTCCTGGTGAAGAGTACCAGATCAAAATTACGGGATGAACCTCTATCGTTGCTATGCCGTCCAAAATGGCTGGCGTTGAGACATTGTTGAATGCTCCAGGAAGACCCTCAACATTAATTTCCACTTCTACAGAGCTGCTTCTATTCGCTTAAGAACATTGCTTAGGTATATACCGATCTTCCTTTCATGTAGGCGTGTTGTGTCTTTTGAAGAAGCGGCTTTAGGCTAATGGGTCTGAAATCCTTTGGATATGCATGGCCACTTCTGCCCACTTTTGGCAGGAGAACTACCCACGCAGTCCTCCAAGACGTTGAAACATAGTTCAGCTTTAAACAGCCTTCAAATATATTGCACATCCAGCCCTAGGTTTTCTGACCCGCCTTCTGCAGCATCGCAGGAAAGATGCAGTCCAGGCCCGGCGACTTATACTGCGTAGATAAGCTCAAGGCCCACTCCAGTCTAGACGGCGTCCGTTATGTTGAGAACTGAAGCAATAAATTTAGCGGTGGAGTGGTTTAGTGGTGGCTTTCCAACTCTATGAGCGCCTATGCCTTTGGCTCGTTTGCCGGTTAACTAAGCTTTGCATTTAGTCGCTTAATTGATTTTTCATACACTTACCACAGACAGCGGCACAAGTTTTCTATAAGCACTTATTCCTTATCCATACCAAATTGACAAAAAAAATAATATGAATAAATTTCAATATCACAATAATTGCATTTTGCCGCCAAGAGCGCATTCCATAGTCTCCAAGCGAACGCTTCGCACGCGCCACAATCATCAACATCCACCAATACATATCCTTGTCACTCTAGCGCGCGATCAGGTGCATGCACGCGCTCCTATCTAACGGCGCGCGGTTGGCACACGTGTGTGGCACGTTTTGTCTAACGACGCACTGTAGAGCGACGTGGGGTGGCGCGCAATACACCACTTTACTGAATTCTCGCGTTACCATTTTTAGCTTTAAAACTTGATTTTTTTTGGGCCGCGTGCTATTGTGCGCGCGTGCCATTGTAAATTTGGCTTGCGGTCACTACCTTCTCTCATAGCGCGCAAAAATTGAATATTCGTAAATATACAGTTCACTTACTGTTTCAGCTGCCTTTACATTTGTGTGTTCGCTGATTATTCATAATTTTCGTGTCACGTGTTGGCCGTGTGAGCACTTAAGAATTTGTAGCGCGACTGATTTTTCAGTCCCTTTGTACACTTCACTTGACTACAGCATAATTGTTGGGGAGTATAGTGTCAAATTGATTGTTTCCTTTATTGATTGTATGTATTATATCCATGATGTTTGTTTTGTATACTTAAATTTCCATTTGATAATAGAAATATCTATGTACACTGCCGGAACAAAGTATTGGTACAGCAAACTTTTCACAATACATATATGCAAGAATTTTTATTCTAATATTTTTCCGCCAATTTTGTTTAAAAATATGGTTCATTCTACAACAAAAACAATAAAAATATAATTCCTCATTTTTATGTCAATCTCGCGAAAATTCAGCAAATTTTCATGCAACTTTCAACTTTATTATAAAATTTTTTTAAAATTTCTTTTGAGTATGCAGTTTTGTAGCCAATTAAATTCTAGTAAAAATTGCAAGTTCGGAGTTAGTAAAAAATCGCACTGATTTTTGAATTTTTTTTTTGTCAAAGGTGTTTTGCATTTTTTCCATATAAACTATTTTCAAAAAAAAAATAAAAATTTGTATGGAGAGGCTGCGTGAAAAAAATTGCCAAAAATCAATGGTAATTCCTAGCTACTTAAAACTTGTTATAATAAAATTGATTAGGCTACAAATTTGCATACTCCAAATTTAAAATTCTAAAGAATCAGATTAAAAAAATGAAAATTTGATGAATTTTCGCGAGTTTTTCACAAATTTGCTGTGTCAATACTTTGTGCCAATACTTTGTCGTCCGCAGTGCGCGCTTTTACTCATCAACACCTGGGTTCAAGCCCTGGTCAAAACAAATTTCGCAAAAAATGTAGAAAAAAGGTTTTTTCTTAACAGGCGCACGCCACAGATCGGAGGAGAAGCTCGGCCAAACACTAAAATATGTGTAAGCGCCAATCTATTATTATTATTAATACTTTGTTCCGGCAGTTTATATGCATTAGACTGGGTCAAATAAAACGTTTTTTTTTTCTTTCGCTCCCATACGAAAATCTCTTTGTCCGACACAAAAAAAATAGTTGCGGCAAAAAACAATTAAATATAACAAATCAAAATCCGTTCAATTCTAGTATAATAAGTGCAAGTTTGGTTTTGGCAATTTTTTTTTGTTCACGGTGTCAGTCATTTTCGTCCATACAAAGTGTGTTGGAACAAACTAAATCTTCAACAAAACAAAACACAAAATTTTCAAAAATCTACGGTAAGTCCTAGTTACTTCGAACTTGCAGTTATTATACTAAAACTTTATGGACTACAAGGTTGTTTTTTATTTGTTTTATTTAATTGTTTATCAACAAAAATTCAGAAAAAAATGTATTAAAAATTCTTATTTTCGCGACCGCTAAAAGAAAAATGAGGATAGGCTGAAATTTTGCTACAATTATTTTTTTGTGGCAGACAACGAAATTTTCATATGAGACCGAAAGGAAAAAAATTGTCGTTTTATTTGATACACACATATCTTAAGTTTTAAAGTTTTTTCGTCATTTATTTTTATTTTAAAAACGTTAAATTAAAAATAATTCATGTGCATATTATTCGGTAAAAAAAGATAAAAATGGCAAAATCATGATAAGAAATAAATAAAAATATATTTCAAATCTTTTTTGAAAGACGTTCCTTTAAGGTTTGGAGCCACTTTGCGCTAGATACAAAGAACAAAATAAGATAACAAGACAACACTTTGACTACCTTTTCACTTCATAATATTTTTCATTATTTCTGTTGATTGAAAAAGTACTTTCCTGTTGCTGTAAATTTTCTTGAAAAAATATAAGGTGGTGTTGTTTCATCAGCGTGAGTAGCTTTTGATTGTCAAAGTTTTGTATTTCGCTAATGAGTGAATGAAAGCGTGAGTGTGTTTGTATTTTCTGTCACCCTTTTTCTTTCGGGGAAGAAAAGCTGAAATTTGACAATGGCCCGCTAAAAGCAAAAACACAATACAAGTAATTGTTGTATTTGTTGAATCGATAACACCTTATATGAATT